CAAAACAGTCAACATAATTATTTTTCCTTATATCTATATATAGAAATATTATGAAAATATTTTGGTGTGTCTTGTAATTGTGCCAATATTAACCTAAAAACTATCTACAAATGTTCTGATCTCTAAGAATGCATAGATATAGAAGTATTATGGTTTCTCCTAAATAGCTTATGTGACAAATTCTTCTGTAATTCCCTGAAACAATTACCTAACGATCATATGCTAAAATGGTGTGAAAAAAAACAGCGGCGTAGCGTCAGTTATTTTTACATGTTTGTATCCAATAAATTATTTTCAGTCTCACATTTTCTAAACACTGACATAAAATCATATACGCTTATTTTATGTGCAAAATCACATATAGTATGCTGAATGACACCTAAAAGAAATGAAACAGTAACAGTAGCTTATTTTCTGAAGCAATTCTGACACTAATGCTAAATTACAACTTGGAAACATCTAGCATTTTTACCTTTATGAGAAAAGGCTTTTTACATATTTAACATAATTCCAGGGAAAATAAACTGGAATTATGTATAAAGGTATGTATACTGTAACCAAAGGGCATTTATATTCCCCTGTAGAATACTTACAATGATTTTATTGCCATTTTGTGTCATTTTCTAAAGGATATAAAATACAGCCAGTAAACAAACTAGACTTTAGATTTAAGATGACAGCGGCTCCTTCAGAAGCAATATTCAGATATTTAATCTTAAGAACATTGAATATTTTACAACCAAGTAAAGTACACTCTTGCAAAAATGAAAGGAGACTGTGCTTTGGCTTATAATTTTCACAGCTGTGGTGACCAACAGGGTCATCATTGCTAAGTCCCAGAGAATAAATCCCCTGTCAGCCTTTGGTAAACTGCTTGGGAAATTAACATCAACGTTCTCCTTCTTCAAAATGCAAAACATCCTTTCTCTACAACAATGCTGATTCACCCTATTACTTATTATAGAGCGTCCTATTATTGCTGTTCTATTTTTGAAGTCTACAGTTGTAATCGATTTTAATAGGCCCTTTACCCCTAGTTCAGCTTGCTGCTCTCCAAGTAGAGCAATCTGAATTCTGCTGGAGAAAAAATTGTATTTCAGTACAGAACCATAATAGGTTTAACTAGGCCTCCAAATATTGCTGTGTTGCTTCAGTCGGTGAATTACTGCTCTGCATACATGAGTCCTGCGTTAAGGGGGCAAATTAAATCAAAACCTATCTGGGAATAGTGTATCTAGGTTATTATTCCTCGGCTTCGTCTTCCTTACTATATTTATGATGGCCTCTCACTGAAGCTTTATCGGTGTGTTTTTTGGCAGCTAGGTATGACCCATTCCACCAGCCATATTGCCAATAAACTTGACTTCATTTGTCCAGTTGGACACTTGAAGATGTATCTACCCTTGTTAGCAGATAATTTACTATCTCTTTCTTTCGGCCTGGTTTATCCACACATTTTTTAAAGAAATCCAGGGACTTCTTTATACCAAAAAGGGCCAGTCATGTCTCAAACACAAGACGGAAGGAACTCACATGTGCCATTGTCTGCACACTCACGGGCATCACTGTGGAGCGCTAGCTCCGTGAGGCCTGAGACATCCTCGTCTGTCTCTGCAGAAACCCTCCGCCAGCCACACTGCCCAGCAATGGCACCGAGATATCCCATGTTTGAACGCTGCTTGTTCACGTCAGAAATTTCTAACACCAGGGGATGGGGGCCCGAGTGGCTAGTCAAGTCCTTAATAGCTTCAACCTCAGCCATATAGTTTACCAGAAATTGTTTTTATCCAATTCTGACCTGTGGAGCTACTAGGCCAAAAATATGACAATTTAAAAGGGTAGACATTTATGTGTATATTTGCTATCGATTTAGATAGATAGATAGATAGATCCCAATTGCCCTCCAGAAAAGATGAACAAAAATACCCACAATTATACGGAATGAAGTTTGTCCAACATTTTGGTAATCTTTTTGGCCACAGTCACACAAATTTCACTTTCTCTAACTTAGTGAGATAGTGTTATGTTTGAAATAAGAGATCACATGGGTACCCCAGCTCAGGGTCACTTTCCGCCTTTGAAAAATGATACATGACTAGCATGTATTTTCAAAGCATGGCACATTTCAATACTGGTTTGTTATGCGATTGCATTTGTTTGTAATATCTATTTTGTAGCAATGTTTCCTCCCAGTAATCAATGAAGCCCATGAAATAAAATAAGTATGATTATATTCTTAACTTATTTTTCTAGAACAAATACTTGAAATAAATGACTCTATACAGATGGATGCAAATTAAAAATGTCCTAAAACCACTCTAAAATCACATTGCAGCAATTGGAAAGACACCTGACTTGCACGCCAGTTTACTCAGAAGTGACAACAAACAGGTTTCTTTAGCAATACATTCAAAGCTAACTATCTTCTTATTCCCTTTTCCCCAACTTCTCAGGCCAAAGCATATATATTCACACAATACATACAACTCATTTAAAGAGGTAGATCTGGACACTTCCATGATGAATACAAAGAAAACTATTAAAATTGTAGGAGCACGTGAGAAGGACCAATACGAGCTAGAAATCTACCTGCTGCTGGTAGATGGTCCTGCCATTGTGCAGCAGGATAGAGAGATACTTCCAGATAATGGGTCCAGATGATAACTGGAGACATTCCTCAAATCTCCAGAAGACAAAACCCCTCCTACTCACATGTTCCTTCTTACCCACACGCTCTGGACTCTTCAAGGAATTCCTATGGCTGGAGCCATACCACTGAATACAGAGATGTCCCAAGAATTCATTCCTTAGAAGACAAAGTGATGATTGAGGTTGTTTCTCTGAATCTAATTCTCATCCACAAAGAAAGATTGTAAATTATAGGAAACTTAGAAGAGAGGGACCTTGTCGTTTTGTTATTCCTGATGCTGGTGGAGGCTGAATGCCCCCCAATTTGATATTAGGAATGTGCCTTTCAGAAGTTCTGACAACAATTGGCATCATCCACCAAATGAAGATCTAAAAGGGAAGATATCTCAAGAAACATGGACAAAGCTTTCTAATGGTGATTCTGACTTGTATTTTGAAACAGTCTTGAGGGGCGCCTGGGTGGCGCAGTCGGTTAAAGCGTCCGACTTCAACCAGGTCACGATCTCACGGTCTGTGAGTTCGAGCCCCGCGTCGGGCTCTGGGCTGATGGCTCAGAGCCTGGAGCCTGTTTCTGATTCTGTGTCTACCTCTCTCTCTGCCCCTCGCCCGTTCATGCTCTGTCTCTCTCTGTCCCAAAAATAAATAAACGTTGAAAGAAAAAAAAAAAGAAGAAACAGTCTTGAAAAGAAAGAAAATATGCCATGTCGATAGGCGCTGTTGTGATGCCAAATATTTCCCGAGAAATTCAGGTTTCTAAAGATCATCTACAAAGAAGTAGAAAGAGAGATGTAGAATAAAGAATAAATATAAGAGCTGGTTAACAAGGGTGATGAAGAAGCAAATAATGGAAAACGACCACAAAAGTTTAGGTACCAATGGGGAAAGTGGACTCTAAGAAGGTCTGCAAGAGAGACTCAAAAAGACAGGAAAAATCAAGGTGTCCAAAGATATCTATTTTTCTTAACCTGGTTAGTCAAACCAGTTAGGTGTATATGTCAAACACCTAACTATTTCTGCTTAATCACAAAAGGTACTAATTAACTCACATAAGTGGGAATTACAGTAGATATTCTAATGGAATGGCTGAATTCGAGAGTTCAAAGGATGTTATCAGATCTCTCTCTCTCTCGTTCTCTTTCTTCTCTCCCTTTCTGTCTTTCCCTTATTTCTGCCTATGTTGGCTTCATTCTTGATTCTGTCTTTTTTGTGTGGTAGCATAACTCTAGGTTCCGATCTTAATACTTCTTATCTTGGAAGGTAATTTTCTTGCCCTGGTTTCCCCTCTATACCCATCTGTGTGCCCATTTCTGGAAAACAGCTTTCTGATTGGCTTGCTATATGATGTATAGTCTCCTTAGGATTTGGAAGAGTAGTTCTAGAGTAGTTACTGGTAGTAACTAGTAGTTCTAGCTAAAAGAGAAAAAATGGCTTCTGTAACCAGAAGAAGAGCTTGTCAAATAAGCAGATATCCTCTTTGTTATCTAGAGATATGCATCCATTTAGCCAAGGTAGATGTAGAGGTGGCTCTCTGCCTTTCTAACCAGGATAGCCTTTGGTTCAAGAGGCCGTTAGTTCTAAGGGAAACCGATCATTCAGCGGAATGCCTGGAAATGCTAGATACCTTCAGGATGTAGGAAAGACATATGAAGTCAGTGAAATTGATGATTATTATAAACAGCCCAGGAATAAACCCAAACTGTGTATGACAAGTGAAACAGGATGTTGGCATGCTTTCTAGTCTTGTATATACAGAAAGTTTCTCTAGGGACAATGAGTTCCTATTAAAAAGAATGTTGTCATGTGTTTTCCCCCATTCAAAAACAGTTTTGTTTTTGATCCATTTCATCACACAAAAGTTATTAAAGGCGAAAGAAAGAAAGAAAGAAAGAAAGAAAGAAAGAAGAAAGAAAGAAGAAAGAAAGAAGGAAGAAAGAAAGAAAGAAAGAAAGAAAGAAAGAAGGAAAGAGAAAGAATATCTCTGTCTTGTATTTGATTTTGGCATTTTTGGCTTTCATAGAATTAAGATAATCCACCTTCCAAATGTGTTTTAATCACTAATTATGACCTTGTGCTCTATATTAACAAATGTTATACAAATTTTAATTGACATTTTTGTGTGTTATACAATGATTGCTGAAGTCAGAAGTGTAACTGAACGATAAAACCTAAATTGTAAGCTTCTGTTAAAACTGTGGAGTTAGGTTAACAATATGGCATTTCAGGGGATTTTCCAGGCTGTAATCTTGGGGGTTAAGGGGGTAAGAAGGAAGTCACAGCATGTGCTCATTCCTACTAAATATTTCTTTTAAACATGGTAGGTTAATATGTGCCATTTTATCACCACTTCTCAGGTGTTTGGTGATATCAGTGGCCTAAGGTTTATCCCCACGGAAGTGGCCACAGCAATTCAGGAGCATATAAGCGAAATGGATGGTACATCGGAAGACTCCTTTGATATTAAATCAAGAGAAGTGAAAAGAATCCATTAAAATTAAAAGGTATTATTTGCCTACTGATTAGATATTTAACTCTGCTGTATGTGAGTGTATCAACTAAGTAGGAGTCACTGAGCGCTGTTTTGTTCTTGTTTTCCTAACGCTTCATGGTGGCGCCAGCCAGCATGACTTGTCCACCTTCCTTTTCAACCTACTGCCTGATAACACGTACTTTACTGTAAGTCAATAGTCAGTACTGGTAACCACAACCAGAAGTCATGATCATCTCGACTATGTTTTTCGGAGACTGCAGAATCTTGCCAGTCTTTGATAGTTTAGAAAAAACATACTTGGCTACTGTGGAATTTGCAGAAGGCTAGGATACCATTGTTTACTTTCTTTTATAAGTGGTACTCTTTCATTTGGAGGGAATAAGGGCACTGGCTAGAACATGATATGACCAACTCTCAATAAATGCCCTTTCCTTTTCGTGTAGCTGAAACATTTCGTATTTTTTAAGAAGGAACTTCAAGAAAAAAAAAATAGAAAAAATAAATAATAAAAATAAAGTCCCTTAAGTGAGTAGGCTTGCAGAGCATATATTTTGTGTTCTAAGATCACAACAATCAATCCCCAAATGGCTGGCTCAGATGTGGGTTCCCTGCATGTACCTCAGCTCTTTCTAATGGGATCAAGGAGCACAGGAACTTTTCAGTTCTTATGTTAGCGCTTTTCTTTTTGCTCGGTTACCTTTCTCTCTTGCAACTGAAGATTTGGAGTGGGATTTATGATCACAAATGGACAGTGAACCATCAGAGGGTAGATGGGCCATAAAAAGTCCTGCATCGTGCGGAATCTTTGGCCTCACCATAGACCAATACATACAGTGGACGGCTAGCTCTGATCTTTCTCTGCACCTTTAACGAAGGGTGAACAGGTATTTAAAAGCCACTTCTGTCAAACAGGAAGCAATGTTATAGAAGTATCAAAACTAATTCTTATAAGTAGGAAACATGAACACATCTGGCCCTGGTGATTTCCGATTCTGGGCTTTAATCATTGTCTAATATGATGGTATCTTCAGTCTCACACAAGCCGACTGCACACAAGGTGTTCCCTCTATCAGCTGAAATTAGCATATGCATATACTGTCTATATTTTTCATCCTCTTTGGCTATTACTGAAGGCAGATCAACCAACATAATATCATATTATTGAATAAAGATTCTAAACACCTTTTAATAGCTCAAATTAACACACACGCACACCTCAGGCAGTTCAACTCGCCTTTTAAGATGAGACTTGAATGTCACGATCAATGATTTTTTTCCTTCCTCGCCTCCATTTTTCCAACTATAATTCGTTAGAGTTTTGATCACCAGGACCTTCCCTCTGCTTTCACTCAACAGTTTTATATTCTAATTGCATACTTCTACATTCCCCATTACAACATGGCTTACCTGTAGACCGAGAATTTTTCCTGCGTACCTTCCTGTTAACAGAACTTGGAAGGGGGCTGGGCACAATTTAGGTGCTCAGTAAATATTTGCTGTTGAAAACATGGTGTGAAAGAGAATGGGGGTGTGGTGGTGATGAAGGCCAGGTCTCTATGGTGTTGTCAGTTATAGTATAAAGAAGGCCAGAAAAAAAGGGGGGCAGTTCAGTAAAACAAATTCTATGAAAGACTTGTATGAGCACAAAATATACTGAAGAGGAATAAATGTATACAATTAGATTTCTGCATCTTAAGCTACATTTCATTAGATCCTTAGTTCAAGTTGATAACTCAAATATAGTTGAACAAATGACATGGTAATTTTTTTTATTTAGCTGTCATTCACTTGACTAAATTAATAAAAATCCCTACTGATTTTTTTTAGCTTTCTGATTTTTTTTTAAGCCTGCCACTTTTATTTATACTCCCTTCACTAAAATGTAAGCTTTATGAGGGCAGGACTCATTGTTTCCTTTATTTACTTTTGCCCTCCCCACTCCGTAATACTATACTTTGAACTACTAAGTGCTCAGTAAGTTTTTCTTGGATGAAAGAATAAAGTGATCGGTCAAGTTTCACTTACCTTTATATTTAATATGCTGTTATGACAGTGAATTGAATAACCAATACAGAGACCAGCAAAAACAAAAACAAAAAAACTCACTTTTCTTTGTTGTGTGTTTCCTTTAGGAATTGGTGGTCCCAATGAAAGAAGTGGCATAATTAAGAGAAGCAATATTTTCTGGCCCCTGAAAGATGCCCATATCCACAGTGTATTTCTTAATCCAAGGAGTCTCTCACTACATTATTTCAGCATATAAGTTGTTCAGTGGTTTTTTTTTTTTCAACGTTTATTTATTTTTGGGACAGAGAGAGACAGAGCATGAACGGGTGAGGGGCAGAGAGAGAGGGAGACACAGAATCGGAAACAGGCTCCAGGCTCTGAGCCATCAGCCCAGAGCCCGACGTGGGGCTCGAACTCACAGACCGCGAGATCGTGACCTGGTTGAAGTCGGACGCTCAACCGACTGCGCCACCCAGGCGCCCCTGTTCAGTGTTTTTAAATGGAAGTCTGTAGTGTTTTGTCGCTCTCATTGCTTCATATATGTTTTCCTTGCCATTGAACTTATCTTACTGAGTAGTAAGCATTAAGTAATGGATTCAACATACGAGTCATTCTAACACTTATATAACATGATGTGTATGTTTGCACGCTCGTGCATGTGTGTCTGTGTGTGTGCGTGTGTGTGTGCTTATGTGTTGAGTAGAGATTGACTAACATGTTTTTCAGGAGTTTTCTTTTGTTGCTGAATATTCATGGGCTCAGTGATATAATTCAATCCAACACTCAAGAATTTGGTACTATCTTACCTCTAAAGTAAATATCGCATTTGCATTGGCATTGAGATGACCTCTTTAATTTAGGTTTGTTTGTTTTTTTTTTTTTTTGCATGTACAGGTATGGTTGGGTACTTAATAGAAAAATAGAGAAAAAGAAAATAAAGGAACTTTTTATTTTTAGAATCAATTCCGCTCATCTTTTGTGAATTATGAACTCACAAAAATTCATCTTTATGAATTGTAAATGATAATTCCATGGAGTGGTCATTGTAAATAGAGATGGTCTACCAGAACAGAGTTCTAACATATGACACCCTAGTATAATATTCCCTTAACAAGGTATACATATTTATACACAGGGCAAAGTGTAATGTTAAAATTCAAGATAGATTTCTGGGGATCTATCTATCTATCTATCTACCTGTCTGTCTGTCTATTTATCTATCTATCTATCGATCTATCGATCTACCTATCTATTTACGTATCTATCACCTGTCTATCATCTATGAATCCAGTCATCATTTTCCTCAGTATATTGAGGATAATTTATAATTTTCATAATTATTTTTCAAGAATCTGTTAGTAAAACAAGCCTTGCTTTATCTATAAATTCATGCCTATTTGCTTAATAATTTCATTGGTAACTTTATTTCGAGTATTATAGTTACTAATTAATGTGTGTCAGCTACATTGATATTTTTCACATATAGAAATAATACACAATACAAAATATGCGTATAATTGAAAAGTGTGAATTAAAAAATCCTTTTAGTAGATTTTGTTTTTGTTAGTACCTACTGTGTTCTTATTACCTAAACAGATTTTCCATTTGAAGTTAAATTCTTTTAAGGAATGAAAATATATATGAGAAGAAATTAAAAATTTAAGTGCTTGCTCTACATTTGAAAGTGAGATCTATAAAATGTTCCTGGTAGTAAGCTCAGTGACAATAAATAGATTACACCAAGTGTCACTTGAGCAAGTGGATAAAAAATGAGTGATTTTCATCCTTCAGTTAAATATGGTGCTAAGTGGTAAGTGCTAGCATTAAAAGCAAATTACTTATCACTTCAGCAATCACGGCATGAGAGCATCCTATTGGAAGTTGTGTCTCCAGTCCTTCTTGGTCCTCAGCTTTATTAAATACATCAATTGATAATGCTTGGATAAGCAGAGGAAAAAAAGCCTTGATGACATTATGGCATTTCCTTTTTATGAGTGCTTATTCAAGATGTCTCCAAAATGGCCATTTCTATATATTTCAGTCAGTGTGGATACACACACATGCACACACACACAATTTCATCTGGCTCAGCCACCTATGGGAAGCACAAATACCAAATACGACCTCACTTCCAGTTGGCCATCTAACTTAATCTTAATTACCTTGAGGAATGGGAAAAAAATCACCACTTTAAATGAGAATGCTTACTGCAGGAATACCTTCCAGAAGCTGGAGAAAGGCTCTTGCTGGGTCTGAGATCTTTGTGAAAACCTACTAAATATGATAGCTCAGGGCCTTGACAACTGGTAGGTCCTAACTCAACAGTTACTGATTGGGTGAGGTAAAGTAAGCCTTGTGGTTTTTTAAATTCAAATTTTTTTCTTTTAAAGACAGTACATGTGTATTTACGTAGATTTTCCTTTTTATGACTGATAAGGAGGAGAGGTGGGAGAAAAGTAGATATACTCCAAGTTGGAGAAGTTAACCCTGGGTACTCCCTCCAGGGTTCCAGTAAAAGTTCAACTCTCACCACCACACACAAATTAACTTCTTAACTATTCCATACATGCCTCAAATGCTTGGTCTCAAAGGGCCACATATTTATATTCTACAGTGAGATGCTGGCCTTATGGTGTTGAACAACAGAGAGTCTGGCTAGGGACTTGGCTTGATCTTGGACAATGAGGACATTTGTAGCACTAGGATAGATTGGAATTTAGAGGCCCTTCTCTTACTGATTTTCTTGATCTGTTGAAATCCTGGAAAGAGCAGAGGTTCATTCCATAAGGAATGGCATAAATTCCTTAAGGATAACCTCTCCAAGATCTAGGTCATAATAGGAACTCAGTAACTATATTAAGTGTGTTGATGAATGATACAGTATAGCATAGTGGCTAAGAGCTGGCACTTTGGGGGCGCCTGGATAGCTCAGTTGGTTAAGCGTCTGATCTTGGTCTCGGCTCCGATCATGATCTCATGGTTTGTGAGTTCGAGCCTCATGTTAGGCTTCACACTGCTGGTGTGGAGCCTGCTTGAGATTCTCTCTCTCCTTCTTTCTCTTTTCCTTCTTCTTTCCTCTCTCTCTTTCAAAATAAATACATAAACTTAAAAAAATAAACTTAAAAATGAAAGAGTTCTGAGTTAGATCCAGGTTGAAATCCTGCTCTATAACTTTCTAGCTATGCAACATTGAATGCGTTACTCAACTTATTGTAATACATCAAAGAGTATCTGCTAATCCAGTGACATAATTTGTATACATGTTTTTCAGATCACATGATTAGAAACAGTATCTATAATATGTGAATATCTGATGCACTCTGTCCACCTGAGTCCTGGAAAAAAAAACTACTTCACAATTGGGATCACCAGGTCCTAGGCTGACCACATGGGATGTAAGAGCTGCTTGTTTAGGAAGAGAGTTTGAATAGGTATCAACTGACTCTCCAAGGCACATTATCAACTAATGCACCAAAACTTTCTTGTCTTCAGAAGCTGACTGTGTACTTTCAGTTCAGCCTCTCCTTGAATGGCCTTGGTTGTGTTGCTTTAGTTCAATCAGTCCTACGCTCAGTGTGAGTGTGGCATGATTTTCTTAACAGTTCTCTTCGTGAAGGTACCCAATTAGTTCCAGCAAACCTCTCATTTTGGGCTTTTTCAGTGTCCACTTTACAAGGGGGTTGCAGGGAAGAACAGGGATGATAAAGGAAGTGTATTAGCTATGATGGTGGTGAGGCAAATTAATGAGAGAAAGAAGAGGAGGAGAGAAAGAAACAGACAAAAAGAAGATTGGGATAGGGAAAGAAGAAATACGAGAAGAATCGAAGGAAAGAAGGATGAAAAGAAAAACTAAATTTCTAAAAGTAAGATTGGTTAAATCAATGGGTACCACATTTAAAATTTCAATATATAATAATTTTTATTTCATAAATATTTTCTTAATATCCATTTCAACCACAAATGGTAATTGAGATAACCTCTTTCTCCAGAGTATTGCTAGTAATTGATGTTAGTAGTAAAAGTATTTTCTTAACTGAAAAGGTAAAAAAAAAATTTCATTAGAGATGTGATTTATTTTATTATTTTTTGATGTTTATTTATATTTTGAGAGAGAGATAGAGACAGAGATAGAGTGTGAGTTAGGGAGGGGGAAGAGAGAGAGAGAGGGAGACACAGAATCTGAAGCAGCCTCCAGGCTCTGAGCTGTCAGCACAGAGCCCAAAGTGGGGCTCAAACTGATGAGCCATGAGATCATGACCTGAACCAAAGTCAGATGCTCAGTTGACTGAGCCATCCAGGCGCTCCTAGAAATGCTATTTATGTTAGATGATTAATAAAATGTAAAGTTTTACTATGGAACTCCTTTATTGTTATTGATTTATAATAGCTCTTTGTATATTAAGTGCTGTATATTAAGTGCTGCAAAACTTTGCATATAGGATGTCACCAAAATATGCCAAATTTGTAAGTTGTTCAGTTTGCTTCAATATATATTTTGGCATAAAGAAGTTCTACATTTATATGTAGTTTAATCTGTAAGTTTCTTTCTTTTTTGTTTTAACATGGTATGTTACATAGTTTATCATTTTCCTTATGTTTTGATATGCCACTTTTATTGTATAATAAGCACATATAGGTTATGCAGTTTTGACGTGGAGAGTGTTGTTGTTCCACTGTTTTATTGTCTATTTTCATGCTAGTATCTGACTCCATTGATTAATGTAGCTCATAGATGAATCAGGAGCATCCTGAGGCCGAACTTCACAGCACTGTGAAAGATTTGCTGGCAGCAGGGGAAGAAGGAGAGTGGAGAGAACATGACATGAGAAGAATATTGGACCTATGTAATAAATATATGCGTTCAGTAGGTACTATTTTCTTCTAGTTTTGTATGCTTGAAATTTTTCATAGTAATAAATTAGGAAGGTTATATAACAGAATACACATGGAGGAAGTATAACATAATATTATATATCCATGAAAGTACATTCAAATAATAAATAATAATGAGGAAATGTTAAAAATATAATGTGGAGCATACACAGTACTTTGATCCGATGGTAGAAAACACATATTGCATAGGAAGAATCTGAAAACACACACAAAGAGATGTTGATAATGGTTATCTGCAGGTGTTGAGATAACACATTACCTCATTTTAGTTTTTCTGATATCATTCTATATTTTCCACATATCTTTCTATGAGCTCAAGTTGCTCTTAATCCATGCCGAAACTATGAAGAATTTTAACCACTAAAACCACTGAAGAAAT